GCAAGGTGATAGCGGTCCCCCCTACTCGGCGCGTATGCCACTCGGTCGAGTCGGGAGATATCGGTCTCCGCGACTCTGGGCTGAAGAGGTGAAACTAATCTCCCCATTTTCGCACTCAGCCTTGGGTTTGAAAAAGTACGTCAATACGTTGGATTGTTTGATTTTCGCTTTTGGTGCGCCCGAGAGGCTCTCGGTGTCTTCCCTGAATTTTATATCAAAATTCTGGCTCAACCCCATCCTCGGTCTTTGCTCGAGGCCTCGGTATTTCTTAACTGAAGTTGTTGGGTTCGACCCCGGATGCCCGGGGGCCCGTGGGCTGGACTAATGATGCCTTTGGGCCCGGGGGCACTGAAAAATAAAGCAGGCACACTGGGAGAGGACGTCCTATTCTCGGGGAAACAGTCCCACCTCGGCGCCCGTACATTTTTCTATCTCTTGCACATTTTAACTGGAGGTGTTGGGCCCTCTCGGGCAGGGCCCGGCGTGCAGCGCTAATGATGCCTTGGGGCCCGAGGGCCCTTGAACATCCTTAGGGGGACTCTGCTTCCAGCTGAGGTGTGCCTCGGGCCTTTTACGGGAACCTCGGCAGGCCCTCGTACCCTCGATGTAGCTGCCCGAGCGTTTTGATTTTCAATGGGCGACTCCACCAGGCTGCCACGCAGCTTCCCCATACCCCGAGGTAGCTCCCCGAGCGTTTTAAAATTCCAATAGGCGAGTCTGCATTCTGTTGAGGTGCGCCTCGGGCTCTTTACGGGAACCCCGGCAGGCCCTCGTACCGTCCAGGTAGCTGCCCGAGCATTTTGAATTTCCAATGGGCGACTCTGTCTGGCTGCCCCGGAGTTTCCCCATACTCCGAGGTAGCTCCCCCATACTCCGAGGTAGCTCCCCGAGCGTTTTAAAATTCCAATGGGCGAGTCTGCATTCTGTTGAGGTGCGCCTCGGGCGTTTTACGGGAACCCCGAGATGCCCTCGTACCCTCGATGTAGCTGCCCGAGCGTTTTCAATTTCCAATGGGCGACTCTGCCTTGCTGCCACAGAGTTTACCTATACTCCGAGGTAGTTCCCCAAGCATTTTGAATTTCCAATGGGCCATCCTGGTTTCTGTTGAGGTGTGCCTCGGGCTCTTTACGGGAACCCCGGCAGGCCCTCGTACCGTCCAGGTAGCTGCCCGAGCATTTTGAATTTCCAATGGGCGACTCCACCAGGCTGCCACGCAGCTTCCCCATACCCCGAGGTAGCTCCCCGAGCGTTTTAAAATTCCAATGGGCGAGTCTGCATTCTGTTGAGGTGCGCCTCGGGCTCTTTACGGGAACCCCGGCAGGCCCTCGTACCGTCCAGGTAGCTGCCCGAGCATTTTGAATTTCCAATGGGCGACTCTGCCTGGCTGCCCCGGAGTTTCCCCATACCCCGAGGTAGCTCCCCGAGCGTTTTAAAATTCCAATGGGCGAGTCTGCATTCTGTTGAAGTGCGCCTCGGGCGTTTTACGGGAGCCCCGAGAGGCCCTCGTACCCTCGATGTAGCTGCCCGAGCGTTTTCAATTTCCAATAGGCGACTCTGCCTTGCTGCCACAGAGTTTACCTTTACTCCGAGGTAGTTCCCCGAGCATTTTGAATTTCCAATGGGCCATCCTGGTTTCTGTTGAGGTGTGCCTCGGGCTCTTTACGGGAACCCCGGCAGGCCCTCGTACCGTCCAGGTAGCTGCCCGAGCATTTTGAATTTCCAATGGGCGACTCTGCCTGGCTGCCCCGGAGTTTCCCCATACCCCGAGGTAGCTCCCCGAGCGTTTTAAAATTCCAATGGGCGAGTCTGCATTCTGTTGATGTGCGCCTCAGGCGTTTTACGGGAACCCCGAGATGCCCTCGTACCCTCGATGTAGCTGCCCGAGCGTTTTGAAGTTTCAATGGGCGACTCTGCCTGGCTGCCCCGGAGTTTCCCCATACCCCGAGGTAGCTCCCCGAGCGTTTTAAAATTCCAATGGGCGAGTCTGCATTCTGCATTGAGGTGTGCCACGGGCTTATTACGGGAACCCCGGCAGGCCACGCTCATGGTAACGGTAGGTAGATCGGTGTAGTTCCGGCCACTTTCCCCGTGCATCGCCATGTTGGCGCAAGCGAACCATTTTGGGATTCGAACCTGGCCGAAGCAGGAAATAGGTGCCGACAGTTGCGACAGGCTGAGACAGCGCATCTGCCACGGAATACTATGCAGCGCCGCGCCTTCCACGAGTTTGGCACAGGCAAACCACTCGAGGATTCGAACCGCAGCCAGGTAGGGTTGAAGCGCACCGAGGTAGGGAAACGGGTTCGGAAGCGTTGGGCACGCCGCTGCTCACCAGTATCCTTGGGGAGGTTTCCGCCCACCGGCGCTTATCATTTCTATCCTCGTTGGTATGGGGAAGGGGCAGTGTTTGAAGCGCCGATGCGGCGATAAAAGTAATTGACTCGCTCACTGGCTCTGGTTTGCCGCTCTATAGCAGCGGTCAGAGAATCGTTTTGTCTACGTCTACGGCCATACCACTGTGAAAACACCGCTTCTCGTCTGCTCCGCGAAGTTAAGCCCCGTCGGGCCGGGATAGTACTTGGATGGGTGACCGCCTGGGAACTCCCGGTGCTGTAGACGTGTTTTTTTTCCCGCGTTTGTGTTTTGGTCAAGGGTACGACAGGGTTTGTGCCACCGCTGTCGCATGTATATCCGTCTTTTCTCAAGTGCGCCGTCGTGCTGATCGATAAGTTACGTAATACGTGGCTGCCTAGGGTAGGGACTCGAGAGCGGCTTGTGTTGTTTGGCGGGGTTGGACTTGGTGATTTTTTTGGCCATGTGAGCGGGGCTTAGAATGACGGCGAGTGGAAGGCATCTCGGGAGGGGTGCGGTTTGCCTTTGAGCGTGCGGAGAGGGTGCGTGTGCATGTCGGAAGTGCAAAAAACCGCGTGTTTCGCGCTTATTTTGGCTCGTTTTGGCCTATTTCTACGCGCTAGGGTTATCACCAGAAGTCGAGCTAACGGTGAGTGTTAGGGCTGGGCTTAGGGTTAGAGCTAGGGTTAGGTGCTTAGCTAGGGTTAGGTCGATGTTCACCCTTTTGGTCGGTTTGCGTGTGCATGTCGGAAGTGCAAAAAAACCGCGTGTTTCGCGCTTATTTTGGCTCGTTTTGGCCTATTTCTACGTGCTAGGGTTAGCACCAGAAGTCGAGCTAACGGTGAGTGTTAGGGCTGGGCTTAGGGTTAGAGCTAGGGTTAGGGGCTTAGCTAGGGTTAGGTCGATGTTCACCCTTTTGGTCGGTTTGCGTGTGCATGTCGGAAGTGCAAAGTTTCGCGCTTATTTTGGCTCGTTTTGGCCTATTTCTACGTGCTAGGGTTAGCACCAGAAGTCGAGCTAACGGTGAGTGTTAGGGCTGAGCTTAGGGTTAGAGCTAGGGTTAGGTCGATTTTCACCCTTTTGGTCGATTTGGGTGCGATTTTTTTCCTTGTGTTGGTTTGAGTGAGACGGTGGGCCCGTGTTGGGGTGGTTTGTTGGGGGTAGAGTGACGGAGGGCTGCTGCCTGCCCCCATTTTGTCGCTTGGGGAGTGCGTTTTTTAGCCGTACGGCACTGCATTTTGAACCCTGTGGCCGTTCAAACCTGTTTTGGCGGCGCCTTTTTGTGGTGTTGGTCGGGGTATCGACGGTGCGCGGCGTTTGGTGTGGTTTGGTGAGGGTAGAGTGTCGTAGTGCTATTGCCGCTCCCGTTTTGCTGCTTATTATGTGGCGTTTCTGGCCGTGCGCCACTGCACTTCCGCTCTTATCGCCGTTTTTATGTGTTTTGGTGATGTGTTTTGGTCGTATCCGTCAGCGTCAGCTGGCGCAAGTGTGTGGGGTTGGTTTAGTGTGGGGTCGAGTGTCCGAGGACTGCTTCCGCTCCCCTTTTGCCGTATATTTGATGCGCGTTTTAGCTGTACGCTTCTGTGTTTCGGCGTTTTTGGTTGTTTTGTTGATGTGTTTTTCATCGTTGCCGTCAGCGTGACCTGGTGCAAGTGTTTCGGGGGTGGTTTTGTGTAGTACTGCGTGTCGGAGGACGGTTCCCGTTTCCGCTTTGCCGTTGGCTTTCAACACGTTGGCGCAAGCAAACCATTTTGGGAATCGAACCCTGACGAAATCGGTCACGGCAGTTGCCAGAGGCTGATATGGCGCATTCGGGACGTTTGCCGTGCAGCGCCGCGCTTTCTACGACTTTGGCACAGGTAAACCACTCGAGGATTCGAACCGCAGCCAGGTGGGGTTGAAGCGCACCGTGGTGGGGAAACGGGTTCGGAAGTGTTGCGGCACCTTTTCGCCTGTTTTAAGGTGCGCTGTAAGAGCCCTCCGCCCGCAGAACGAGAAGCACACCATCCGTGCAGAGACTTTCCGCTGCCGGCGCTTAACCTTTCCAGCCGTGCCTGCATGGCGGCAAAACGAATCCATCGGCGTGTCGCTCCAAAATGCGCTGTTTCGGCACGTTCGCCCCACCGATTTTGGGGGTGAGCGTTAAGCGTTGTCGGGCCGGATATCGTCTTGCTGATATATGCGTTAAGTAATACGTGGCTCACCAGGGTAGGGACTGAACAGCGGCTTGTGAATTTTTGTCGTGTTTGTACTTAGTCATTTTTTCGCTTTTTTCCCGCCCATGTGAGCGGCGCTTAGTATGACGGCAAGGGGAAGGCATCTCTGGAGGGGTGCGGTTTACCGTTGGGCGTGAGGGAAGGGTGCGTGTGCATGTCGGAAGTAAAAAAACTCGCGTGGTTCAGACCTATTTTGGCTCGTTTTGGGCCTGTTTTGAGTCCAGCGGCTGGTATCTAGGGTTAGCGTTTTTTGGCTAAGTCCACGGCGCTTAGTATGACGGCGAGGGGAAGGCATTTCTGGATGGGTGCGGTTTGCCTTTGGGCGTGAGGGGAGGGTGCGTGTGCATGTCGGAAGTGCAAAAAACCGCGTGTTTCGGGCTTATTTTGGCTCGTTTTGGCCTATTTCTACGTGCTAGGGTTAGCACCAGAAGTCGAGCTAACGGTGAGTGTTAGGGCTGGGCTTAGGGTTAGAGCTAGGGTTAGGTGCTTAGCTAGGGTTAGGTCGATTTTCACCCTTTTGGTCGATTTGGGTGCGATTTTTTTCCTTGTGTTGGTTTGAGTGAGACGGTGGGCCCGTGTTGGGGTGGTTTGTTGGGGTAGAGCGATGGAGGACTGCTGCCTGCTCCCATTTTTCGCTTTGGGGTGCGTTTTTTAGCCGTACGGCACTGCATTTTGAACCCTGTGGCCGTTCAAACCTGTTTTGGCGGCGCCTTTTTCTGGTGTTGGTCGGTGTATCGACGGTGCACGGCGTTTGGTGTGGTTTGGTGAGGGTAGAGTGTCGTAGTGCTATTGCCGCCCCCGTTTTGCCGCTTATTATGTGGCGTTTCTGGCCGTGCGCCACTGCGCTTCCGCTCTTATCGCCGTTTTTATGTGTTTTGGTGATGTGTTTTGGTCGTATCCGTCAGCGTCAGCTGGCGCAAGTGTGTGGGGTTGGTTTAGTGTGGGGTCGAGGGTCCGAGGACTGCTTCCGCTCCCCTTTTGCCGTTTATTTGATGCGCGTTTTAGCTGTACGCTTCTGTGTTTCGGCGTTTTGGGTTGTTTTGTTGATGTGTTTTTCATCGTTGCCGTCAGCGTGACCTGGTGCAAGTGTTTCGGGGGTGGTTTTGTGTAGTACTGCGTGTCGGAGGACGGTTCCCGTTTCCGCTTTGCCGTTGCCTTTCAACACGTTGGCGCAAGCAAACCATTTTGGGAATCGAACCCTGCCGAAATCGGTCCCGGCAGTTGCCAGAGGCTGATATGGCGCATCTGGGACGTTTGCCGTGCAGCGCCGCGCTTTCTACGACTTTGGCACAGGTAAACCACTCGAGGATTCGAACCGCAGCCAGGTGGGGTTGAAGCGCACCGTGGTCGGGAAACGGGTTCGGAAGTGTTGCGGCACCTTTTCGACTGTTTTAAGGTGCGCTGTAAGAGCCCTCCGCCCGCAGAACGAGAAGCACACCGTCCGTGCAGAGACTTTCCGCTGCCGGCGCTTAACCTTTCCAGCCGTGCCTGCATGGCGGCAAAACGAACCCATCGGCGTGTCGCTCCAAAAAGCGCTTTTGGGGCACGTTTCCCCACCGGTTTTGGGGGTGAGCGTTAATCGCTGTCGGGCCGTATACCGTCGTGCTGATCTATACGTAAAGAAATACGTGGCTCCCTAGGGTAGGGACTGAATAGCGGCTTGTGAATTTTTGTCGTGTTTCTACTTAGTCATTTTTTTCGTTTT